GTCATCGTCGTGCTTGTCATAACTTTCGTGGTATGTATTGTATATGTATTTTAAAGATTTTTCAATTTCATTTTCAAAATGGTAGCCCACTCCAAGGCGTTGGATTGCATCAATGAAGTATAACTTATTCAAGGACCCGTCTGATATAGCATTGAACAGCTTATTCACTTCTTCTTTTAGTCTTTGAAGTTCATCCTCTTCATGAGCAGATATGGCCTGCTCGAGTAAAAGCGTGTAACACATTATAAGAAAAGAAAAATTACACAATAAAATGGAAAAATTATTATACCGTGAGGTCTGAAGTATATGCAAGAAAATAGTCCCCCCAAATGGATGGATGATGCGTGACAGAGCGGCGTGCATACTCGACGTGTTTGGTGGAAATGGGAGCAGCCGATTCATGAATTTTCATATCCATACTATATTTTGACAAAGAATTTGCTCAGAAAAGGAACTGTTTTTATCCTTTTATATATATATAGATTCTCTCCTGAATGGTTTTAATATTTTGAAAGCTTAGGTCCAGTTTATGGGTACTTATAGTCCCTGGTTAAAGTTTCCAAACCATTAAATATTGATTCCCAGGGACCATTACTTCTACGTATAAAAAAAATGTCGTTGTGAAACCTTAATTTAATATTGTTAAAAAATTATATATATTAAGACTACATTATCAAATAAAATAAGTTTAGTTGGTAATTTCGAATTTGAAGGTTAATTATCATCTTTAACGGATTTCAAAATCACAAAATATGGAGATAGAGAAAATGGGATTATTAACTATCAGATTCAATAGTTTCATCTTGCACTCTAAGAGTGTGTTTGATTACATTTATTTTTTCCATGAAAAATGCCTAATTTTCCTTGTTTTTAAGGAAAATATTTTCTTTAGGCGAATAGGTTTTTGTTTTCCTCAAAATAAGGAAAATATTTTATTTTCTAGGATATATTTTTCATGTCAATCAAAGATACTGTAAATAAAATATTCAGCTTTGAAACCAGATCACAATTCCAGATTACGATTCTCGCACGAAATTTTAATTTTTAAATAGACGTCTTAAATCACACAATCAAAGAGGCATGAACCATTTTTAAGAATTGTTATCACTTGCAGACAACCTATAAGTGACAGTCACATAATATAGTATGTCGAAATTACATAACGTATTATAGATATTTTAGGTCACAGTTAGACAACCTCATAGTTCACAATCACACAACATAGTAACAATTTTCACACAAAATAATAATTTTTTCAAAGATATATATCTTAACTTTCTTAAATTGTACATGCATATTTGAAATTATATATTTTCACAATTTTGTTATTGGGAGCCATAGTCACACAACGTATTAGGTTAAAGTCACAATTCGGAGAAAATGATCGAAAAACCCATTGCAAACCAAGGCCCAGCAAATGTTCTATTCTTTTTCTTTTAACTTTTGTTATAATTTTTACATGAATAATTTAGTCATTTACATCAATTATTTCATGTGGTACTTACGTTCTCTGTTGTGATTCAAGTTACAATTTTTACCGTTATGAAGATCCAATGTGGCATCGAGCATGCACTAAAATGTTTTTCGAGCGTGTTTTCAACATTTCGCGTGAATAACGTCCTCAATTTTTTTCTTAATTAATCACATTTTATGTTGGGTATCGCAGTGTACATGTGCGATGGTGTGACTAAAAAGTCGTGAATTGGACATAAATCACATTAAACCCGTGGAATGAACGAATTCGTACTTACCCTATTAGATTGGAAATATTGAATATAGTGGGCAAAAGATCTAATAAAAGATTATATTAGATTGGAAATATAGAATATAATTAGCAAAAGTTTTGTTCTTTTACCTTAAAATAATAAATCAAAGAGTATAATTTTAAGGTTCCTAATTTTTTATCTTTAATTAATTTTATTTATGTTGGGTATCACAGTGGATGTATGTGATGATGTGACTAAAAAGCCGTGAATTGAACATATCATGAATGGGTTCATATGAGACTTGTGAAATGATCGAATTCGTACATATCTCCTTAGATTGGAAATATAGAATATAATAAGCAACATAAAGAAGGTAAAATAATAATTTCATTTAATTTCGGGTTGTTCGTTTTTGGCCAATTGTTAGTCTAATTTGATTGGAA